TTTTACATTTTTGGCTGAAAAGTTAAATAACTTATTAAGCCTGACTGCAAACTTCAAGTAGTACATGTGCTTCGCCAACAAAAATAATGACAAGTCTTTTATGTCATATACTTTTGAAATTTTGATCAATTACTAATTATTATGGAAAGGGGTCGCCCATAAATTATGCAACGCAAAATATTTTTAAAAAACATAAGCTGCAGATACTAAGCTCTTTTGCGCGGCCATTTTAATTAAACTGAATGGGCTATTATGATTTTATATTTAAATCAAGACCCTACGAGGGAAAACTTTATTTTTTTAATTTTATTTATTGTGAAAGTTTTATGTAATTAACGGACGATCCTTAATTCTTTTAATTATTGTTTTTAATTTTTTTGTTTGGTATTTTATATCAACTGAATTATGTGATCACATCGACTAAAATCTTTTTTCACTTAACTATTAATTCAATAACTTTTTTTAAAAAACCATCTCTGAAATATAAGTTAACTACAAAAAATGTTTTATGATTAAACCAAATTGGTAGTACAAATTTATTGAACAAGCAAAATAAATTTCTTTACATTACTGCTTGCTTTTATTTAACACACAAGTACGTATATTAAAACGTAAATTAAATACGTTTTATAAAATTAATGCTTTTTTTATTACAATTAACTGGTACTAGAAATTTAAATAGCAGAAAACAAGATTTATGGCTTGCTTGAATTTAAAATGTTACATTTTGAATAAACATAGTCATAACATTTCATAACTATAAATGAAAAAATAACTATTGGTATTCTTCATTACCACGCAATCGCTTGCGATCAATATTCTTTTATAATTAAATGACAATTGTTGTTTTTGCTGAGACTGTCATATCTTTATTTTGTTATGCGATTTATGAACTCCGTTAAGCGAAAGAAAATTATTATTAATCATAAAGTTGAATACGCAAATAAATGTGAAATATAAAATTTACGAGCTAGTTTTTACTATTTTCAAAACTTATCTTTTTTAAAATATTTCCTTTGATGACACAATATATTATATGATGATATAAGGGTTCGTCCATAAAGGATGTCAAACAGAATTTAAATAATAATTAGAAATAGAAGATCATTGGCTTTTTTACGCTTTTATTTCTTGAAATAAAAGCGGCAACGATATATTAGGATTAAAAATAAATTGATTATATTATTCATAATAATAATCAATATACACTGATTATTTTATATTTGAAAAGTATAAAATTCCTAATATGTTTGGAAATCAGACCTTGATTTGCTGTGTCGTTATGAAACCACATTTAATTTTGTATTGATTTCATGTTCATCTTCAATGTTACAGACAGTATTTTATTTTTGATGCTGTTCAATCAATGTATGCAACGCTGAAATGAAGTAGAAAAAAAAAAAAGAATATATGATAAAAACCCTACGCATTCCCAGAACACATTGTAATCTCAGCAGAGAAAGAGAGAGGGGGGGCAAGATTATGTAAAAAAAAATTCCCCAATTTTGTTAAAATGCTGTTTCAAATTTATTCCTGGTTAACACCCTGTATATGTATTAGGCTTGGTCGGGAAGCAGATACAATTGCACTCGATAATTGACCACGGAAATAATATTTAGTTGCGATAAACCGGCCAGATTTTTTAATAGTTTAAGAACATTTAAGTTGATGTATGTTTCCATGTTTGTCTGCAAAATAATAAAAAAGTTCATTATTTTATCATGAATTAAAAAAAATTTTGTTTACGAACATACATGAAAACATACACAAACTTGAATGTTCTCAAATATCTTTGCGCAGAAAATAAAAAAAGAATATTTGCAAACACAAAAAACTTGCCAAATCTATAAAGAAACAAATTATATTGGTTCAAAAAATATTAATCAAAATTTCTGAAGTATTCGAAAAATACTAAACAAATGTTCTCGAGTATTCTGTTGAAATATTTTTAAAAACTGTATTATTTGAGTTTTGTTATATTTTCGTTGAGATTTCTAGCTTAAATTGTTTTAAGAATATACTATCAAACAAACTATTATTTTAATACTATGGCTCATTCTCGCAGCCACATGTACAAAGCTACAAATGTTTTAAACTAATATTATTTGTTTACAAAAATGTTTTAAATTTATATTTTTTAACTTGTCAACGTTTGTAAATATATTATAGATTTTATTAGTATATTCTTACTTTTTATCTGAAAAGGATGTATTTTTTATGTATGTAATGTATTTTTATGTATGTAATGTATTTCTATGTAATTCTATGTAGGGTAAAATACCCAGTATTCTCCATGCGACCTAGTCTTCGCCACTTGGTCACTAAAAAACATCCAGAGCTAAAACTAATTGCTGGAAAGTTTCGAAATTGCATTTTAAAAAAGCTCTGATGTTTTCTTTATAATTGACGAAAATTCGAAAATCGTAGCTTTAAAAATAAAGGCACAGGGTTTATTTCAAAAAAAACTTTGCCCAAAAATCCTTAATGCTTAATGACAAATTTTCGATAAGCTTTTAGATAATCACCAAAAAAACATAGGTTTTTATAATTTTATGGCATTTTTTTTCTTTCTCAGACTATTATTAAGATGCTTGAGTATCTTATAAACAAAGAACTAGCGGATGAACTTGAAAAGGGTGGGCGTGGGGTAAGGTAAGAGTTTTGGTGGCGATTACTAGCCCCTTGCTAGTATTTGCCACCAAAAAAAAAAAATTAAAAAAATTGATTTTTTTTTTCTTTATTGTAAAATATGAACACTTGCACACTTGTCAGTATGGGTATTGTTTAATTTTATTTAAAAATAACCGTGTAATAAGCAGTTAAATATTTTCTAGTCTTCGCAAAACTGACTTTCTAGAAGTCGCTACTTTTGATAATTTATAATTTTATTGAATAGAAACCTTTTTGTATTTTTCAGAACATATATAAATAATTATATTTTAATTTAAATACTTATTATTTAATTTTATTTTAATATTGAACTTTTTTAATATTGAATATGTATGGTCATAAAAATAAATTTTCTTAATCGTACAATTATAAACTGTTTTTAGCTAAAGTTCGCACTGTTGTGCAAGAGCTTTAATCAGCATTCGTTGTGACATCCGATCAAGTCGTATCTCTTCTGGCAGAAATAAAAGAAAAAAAGAAAGTCCAGGAGCAAGCAAAAGTTGAAAGAATAGACAAACGCTTGGCAACTGAGTTAGTGAAGAATTCAAAAAAATGTTAAAAAAAAAAAGTTGTACACTAAGCCAATACAAACAAAAGAAGAAAGTCTAAAACAGCATCTTATTCAGGTAAGAACAATTTTAAAGTGACTACTCTATGGCCCAGCTGTTGTTCTATTAAATTAATAAAAAATACATAAAAACATTTCCACATTTCATTTATTAATGTCATTTTCTCTCTCTTTTTTTTAAGATTGCATGCAATGATTTGACTGGGGATTTCTTGTTTAATTTGAAACTAAAGTGAAAAAAAAAAAAACTTAGATTCTTTAACAATAGTTTAGACTATTGTTAAAGAATCTAAAATAAATCTTTATCAAAAATAAAAAAACCTATTTTTAGAAAAAAATTAATTGTGGCTAACACTAGCAACAAAAAAAATTCCCAGATTGCGAACATGTTTCATGCTAGTGGTCGCCATTTGGCTTTTACGGGTGCTATAGCTGCCACTTTTATTATTGGAGGTAATTTATTTTAGGGCTATCATAAAGACTAACCATTGATCTATAGGCTTAATCATTTAATGTTAATCATTAGATTACTATTTAAATATTCACATTACCATTAAAGAAATTTATCTCTTAAAATAAAAACGTTTCAAGGATTCTTGTTTTTTATATACCTGTTAAACTTAAAACAATTCGAAACTACTGAAGTTTGGTTAAATCATTTCAGATCTTAACCTAAATGCTCTCTACCCCAAATTATTCTTTTGAGTCAAAACGGTTGAGAACCACTGTATGATATTTAACTAAATACATAATTATATATAAACTATATATATATATATATATATATATATATATATATATATATATATATATATATATATATATATATATATATATATATATATATATATAGGCCTCGACAGGAAGCTCGCTTACACTCCCCTAAAATGGTTTATGAGAGCAATTTAAGGTTCTAGCAAAAGTATAATTTTTTCTGTCAAAAGCATAACTATCATTGTAACTAAAATGAAAAACACAGTTATTTTTATGAAAAAAAAAATAAATTAACTGCATAATAAATTGCAATGATTTTTAAAAGGCACGGTTGTTGCAAAATAAAAATTAAAAAAGAGTTTTTGATTAGATTAGACTATTTAATAAATTCATTTTCCTAAAATATCTTAAAATATTTATCATTTATGTAAAAACAAGTGAGAAATAAATACTTATATTGGACTAAGTCTGAAAAAGTGGCAAACACTGGGTGTTTTACTCAATGTAATTTTTTATATGTGTATTTTATTCAAATATAATCTTTTAAAGCAATATGTGCGATTGATTTTGTAAACAAAAAATACTTTCAATAATAACTGCGTTTTCAATGAAATTAATAATACTTTCGAGTTGTTAATAGAAGGGGATGGGTTTATTAACTATTTTTTGGAAAGTTTTCCCACCCACCCTAAACTTATTAAGACCCCTGTTTAATAATTTTTACTTGTTATCAACAAAAATATCTATTAATAAAAAAAAAATAATTAAGTGAAAATCAGCTTTAAGAATTAAAAAATATACTAGTAACTGATAAATATTGAAACTTTCAATGTAAAATCCTGTTTATTAATCCCCTTAATTAGATCTGTAATAAATTTCTCACCCACTTTTTCATTTCACCCCCCTCCTCCTGAAAATATTTTAAAAATTACTAGAGTTTTAAAAACCCTGTTGAAAGCTAGATTCCTGAAAAGAGTATTTGTACACATTTAATTATACTAATTTATTATACAACTTATTTGTTTGATACTAAAATAAAATTATTTACTCGTTGAGATTCCAATAATTCATATATATAACCAATAAGCACTTCATCCTCTATACCACCAAGCAAACTTGTAATTCTTGATTGTACCCATGGTTTAATAGTATCCAAATTAACTTTTTCCATGTCAACCTAAATAAAATGTCATTTATTGAAAAATTTTATTAAAATTATTCACAATTACTGAACAAATGAGTACAAACCTTTGATGTCAATAGTGGATCAAACTTCATTTTCTTCATCAACTTTTTTTCTTTATCTGCAAAGCGAGAGTCTTGCTCAGAAGTGGTACCCTAAAAAAATTAAAGCATAAAAAAAAAAAAAATTAAACAGTTAAAGGGATAATCTAGAAAAATATTATTCCCCTTTCCTCTTAAATTTTTTACAATAATAACTTTTTATGAATGTATACAATAATAACTTTATGTCTTTTTTGTATTTATTTTTTTTTAAATAAAGATTTTTATTTAAAAATCTAATAAAATGAATAAAGCTTTCCCAGGAAACTCAGGCCTTCCTTCTTTTTTAGACATACTGACCGCAGCAGTTAGCGTCTTAAAACTTTTTAAGTGTTTAATATATAATAATTATAATAATATATAATAATAATAATAAATAATAATTCATGGCAAAAAGATAAACTCATTAACTGAGAAAAAAAAAAAAAAAACAATTCTAAAAAAGGAAACATAATTTTAACAAAATATCAAATTTTAATTAAATAAACTAAAAATTTAATAATTTGAAAAAAGAAAGTTAAAAAAAAATTATTTTATATAACTTATATAAAACTTTTGTATTCATTTTTTTAGCGTGGCAGTTATTTTTAACTGCCAAATTTGATAAAAGTTGAAGAAAAAAAATAATTATATTTTATAACAATTTAACAACAATTGAAAGTTTTGATATGCAATTTATTCACAATTTTTATCATGCTAGAACTATGAGAACTACTTTTGTTAATTTTTTTATCTTCTGTTTATTTGCTTTCAAGTTGTTGTTTTTTTGCTTTTAAAAATATTTTTGCTACACTTGACATTTTTTAAAAATATTTATATAATAGGAAAAAAAGAAAATAAATTTATTTGTTTGCTATTTATTTGTAAAATATATTGATTTTTTTTCAAAGTTAATGTACCTCCCCAAGGTTGAGAAGGCTACTACAGCGAGGAGACTACTTAATTGTAGTTATAACCCTCTCTCAACTCTATAACTCCCAAAAATGATCCTTGACAAACAAGGCTGTAGTGCAGAGAAACAAGTTGATTGTGGTACTACTAAGGACGTGGCAGGGAACTCAGAACATCTCTCTTATGAAGCGTTCTACCACTACCACATTAATAAATTTAGTAATGACGAAAAAATTAAAGGAATTGCATGGTTTCTTTAATAAATGTATTTACCACATTTGATGCCTGTCTGATATTGTTTTCTTTATACTGCCCAAGTTCCAACATTTATACAAATTAATTGAGAAAATGATCATAACAATTGCTCTGTTTGAAAAATAATATTTTAAAACGTAAAAAAAAGTCCAAAAAGTTTAAAAAAATTTTTTCCTAAAAATTTCCTGAAAAAAGCTTTTAGACATTGTCAATAACAATAGTTCACCAGGAAATAAACTATTGGGTTTAAATGCACAGTTTAAATGCAGAATATTTCAATGGTGAAAACAACCAAACATTTTATATTTAAATATTAGTATTAATGACTTTATTTTTTTTGAATGAAAGACTTGTTAAGTAATTAAAAAATAGATATTTTACAACTAAATAGCAATTAGTTTTTTTGCTTTCCTGTGCATTTATAAAAACTTTTTTGCTTTCCTGAGCATTGATAAAAACAGTTAAATTTAAAAGAATTATTTAAAAAATGTATTTTAAAATTGTCTATATTTTTTAGTGAAATAATAAAGTGTTTCCTTAATATATTGACTGATAAAAGTTATGTATAAATTCTAGAGTAAAAAATGTTTTTATTTTCGTTTTATTCTTTTCTGCTTTTTTCCTCAACATTTTTAGGAAAAAAATTTCGACCAAAAACCATGAAAAAATGGCTTTTTTTAATTTTTATGCAACAAAACTTATAATAATAAATATTATATAAAATTTTTATTGTTTTCGAATTTTTTTTATAAAGTTTCGCTTCTTTTGAGACCCAACATGACATACATTTGAAAAACTTTTTTTTCTTCTGTTGAGGGTCTCGTCGCATGTTTTAGATTTGAGGTGGCCCCCCTAAATCTCATTCAATTTTGAAAAAATTAAACAGTGTCTTGTGAGTACCAATAGAAAGTTTTAAGAATAGGGACAGATCAATTTTTGAAAGTATGGGGCGTTTGATGCACCCTAATATATATATATATATATATATATATATATATATATATATATATATATATATATATTTTTAATTATTAATTTTTTTTTAGTTTATTTTATGTACATTTTCTATTTCAGATAGTATTCCTTTCCTTCCTTCGAGTATTGCTGTTTTATTCTCTGTAATTTCTTATAGCTTTTTAAGCTTTTTTTCAAGTGTGTTTAATTCATAGGAGTTTTAGTACATGACATTATAGATTTTTTTTGTTTGTTTAAAACATCGATTATTATTTTTTTACATACAATTTCCAAATCATTTTCATTTTTACTATATTTTAAATTTCTAAAATGTGTTTATAATAAAATTAAAAACAAAATAGTATTTTATTTGCACAACCTTTTTTAAATAATTGTCTAGACCACAAATATTTTGATTTCTTTTATTATAAGTTTTTTTTCTTCTTCAAAATATTAGATAAAATCATTTTTAACACAAAACAATAATGCGCTTTTATTAATTTACTTTGTAAATATAAAAAATAAAATCTTTAACGCATATTTTCTCTAATTTTTAATAATGTATTTTTTGGTATTGAGGTGATCTTTTTTCATTATTTATATTTCCATTATTACAACATCCAATATATATAATGGCTATGGAAGGTCCAAAAAGTTGGACCTTCCTTAGCCATTATATATATTGGATAATTATTATATATATTGGATATATATTATGAAATTTTGTTGTTTATTTAAACAGTGGGATCTTTTCTTTAATTTTATCTATACAACTCAACTTTTCTTTTATTACTCTGTATTTCTTTTAGAAACTTCTTTTAATCAATAATTAATTTTGATAAACAACAGTATTAAGGATATTTGATGAAATGTTAAATTTTTTGAATTAGAAAATATTTATAATTATGTTAATTAAATTTTATTAATTGAGATACAGATAAAAGAGTAACCATGTTATACTTTTCATTTGCATTTTGATAACTAAACCAAGTAACTTTATAATACCTGTGGCAACAAATATTGCCACAGGTGTTATAAAATAATATAATATTATTTTAAAATATAAATCATTGTTTTATTGTTAGCAGAATTAAAATAAAAAGTTATAACAAACTGTCACATAATGGCTATGTTAAAAATAATTTTTATTTTATTTTAGACCAAAAGTGCATAACAGAACACAGAAGTTTTGTGACAGGCTGCATTGAGCTATATCCATTATGGATATCAATGGCCAGTCTGAATGACAGAGAAGGAGCGTGGATGCCAGATTCATTCAAAGAAACCCCGAACAAGTATTTTTATATTTACAATTTGGTTGTTTTGCGTTAAACTTGATTTTATTTATATAACTTTGTTTATTGAAAAATATTTGTATTTCTCATTTTCTTTTAAAGAACATTCAGATATGCTGCTTATCGTCAGTTTATATGGTTAACTAAGTGGTAGATGCTTGGAAATATTTTTGCGGATTTGAAAGTGCCAAAATCTAAGTAATAAAATGGCTATTTTCATAGCATCAAATTCTAAAAAAAATTTATGCGCAATAGAATATGATATATATTTTAAAAACTTATCTTATTTTAAGATTTTCTAAGATATTTAAAACTGATTGTATTTGGGAGGGCAATATCTACTTTTACAGCTATTTTTGTTCCCATCGGTGCAATTTTTCAGAAAACATATTGATATGACATAAGTATGAACATACACAGTTTTTTTTTTCATTTTATGAGTTTCATTTCTAGTTTTGATTATTACTGTTATTGTATGAAGTTAGGGTAAAAATAAAATTAAAAAAATCTTAAAAGTAAAGAGACCAAAAGATAGAGTTTTAAATAGTGTGGGCCATCCCCACCTTCCATAAAACTGCAATTATTAGATCTAATGGTAATCTATGAAGCAATATATGAGAACCCGATCTGTTATTGCTAGAGCAACCAATAACAGCGCAATGCCGCATTGTAGTTTTTGTTTAGAAATTTACTCTTTATTATTTTATTACCATGGATTTAAAAACGCGAAGTATTTTTGTAACTATTTATACAATTCACATTTAAAATAAATTACACACAGCTGTTTTTTAATCAATGAAATAATATAACTTGGTAAAAATTCAAGACAGATGGTGCACATAGTAAATGCGGTCACAGCGCACATTTAAAAAATGAATTAAATATTGATAAAATCCAAATTGTAGATACCAGTGCCATGGATAGGGGGTCAGAGATCCCCTCCCAATAAAACATGTCAATAGGATCTCAAGATTTAAAAAAACTTTGAATGTTAGGTACAACGAAAAAAAATAAATTAAATTTGGTAAAATTAATCTTAAATTTTAAAAAAAGAACACCTATATTTACTGCCCCCCCCCCATTTAGGGCGTAGCTGATGGGCCACAGAGTGTTATTTTATTGGATGGGCAGAACAACCAAAAAAATCCAAAAATACTAAGTCTACTACTAAAGCCTACTTAGCTCATAAAAAATGGACATTTAAAAAATTTTGGCAGCATAGGGGTTCCTAGGTCCACCATCGCTGTGGCCTATGTAGCCACGGCTCTGATAGCTACAAAAAAACAAAAAAATTTTCAATGTGAAGATTTTAGAAAATAAAATAACTAACTATAGTTAGCTATTTAAGTAAAATTTAATAATAAAATTTTTAAAGAATTTCTAGAATGCTTCCAATGACATCATGTTTATTTTAAAGACTCCAAATATTGCAGAAAATAGAGAAGACAAGCTTCGACTAAAACAACAAGATTAATTTTTCTTGGTATACATTTATTAATTAGTTTTAACAAAAAAAAAATTTGCTCAGATGTTTTTTTTTAACATTCTCTTTGATATGAAATAACATGTCTCGGGTCTTGGTGGTCCCCTTAAATTTAATTATTTAATATAAATAAAAAATTGAAAGAAAATAATCATTCCAAAACATTCCTTAATGGTAATAATAAAAAATGAATTAAATAATATTTAACTTATTTTGCGGTAATTTAAAAAAGTTAATAATTTTAAAAAATAAAAAAAGAAAATTTCAAATTCACATTAGGTAAATGCATAGGTCAAATTCACATTAGGCTAATGCATTAAGCATTTTTCATTACTACTGATTATCATAACAGAAAAAAAAAAAAAATATCAGTATACCCTATACTAAGGAAAAGTATAAAGATAAGAACCATGAATTTAAGATTAAATGTTAGACTAACAATTAAACTTATATAATTTTGAACACAAAATTAATATTATAACTAAAAACAAAAAAAAAAATTTTTAGTTTTTAAATTATAAAAATTTTAAATTTTAAAATTCATTATATAATTATATATATATATATATATATATATATATATATATATATATATATATATATATATATATATATATATATATATATATATATATATATATATATATATATATATATATATATATATATATATATATATATATATATATATATATATATATATATATATATATATATATATATATATATATATATTATATATATATCAAGCCCTCCAAGAAAATGTGTGCGGTCACATGCCTTGTACGTCCACGCTTAAAGCACTTTTTTTAGACAACTTGACCACATTTTTATATAGTAAGCATTTTAAGAATTCGCGGCAAAACAAAACTATAAAAAACTAGAGAATAAAACAGCAATACTCGAAGAAAAGAATTGAAGACTATAGAAAATAGAAAATTTAAATAAAATAAGCTAAAAAAAATTTAATAATAAAAAAAGAAAACTGTTGTCAAAAAAATAACATTCCTAAATATTTTACTCTTTTTGTTTTCTTTTTTTTTAGGGTGTTAATTATTTTCTACTACTTTTGCTTGATACAAGTCAAGCAAAAAAGTAGATAAAAATATTACAAAAATATAAATATTTTTTGATATACAATTTTTTTTTGCATTTTTTCAGTCAGTATATAAAGAAAATTACGCTAGAAACACGGACAATTTTTAAATTTGCTTTTCAAATGTCTTTGCAAAACTTTATTGTTTTTATCAATGCACAGGAAAGTGAGAAAACTAATAGCTATTTATTTGTAAAACTTTTTTTTTTTTTTTTTTAAAAAAATAAAACAAGTTTTTATTGCAGGAAAAAAAAAAAAAAAAAAAAAAAAAATGATGCTGCTAAACTTTGTGAGAGTTTCGTTAAGAAAGTTCAGGAGATTAACAATTTAAAAAATTGTTAATCTACTGAACTTTCTCAACAAAATTTTTTCTTAATTATGTGAACTGATAGAAATGGTGAATAAACTGAATATCAAAACTTTAAACTGTTGTTAAATTATTAAATTTTCTAGTTTATATAATTAAACATTTTTTTTACAACTTTGTTTTATTTTTTTATTTAGACATGAAAAAGAAAAAAGATTAATTTACTATTCTTTCAATATAAAAAAAAAATCAGTTAAAACATTTTTCATTTTTGTTTTAGTAAAACAAATCGTTTGTAAATGCAATTAAGAGGGGTCATCCATGAAGCACGTCAACCAATATTTGTTAATTCTTAACCCCTTCCCTCCTGTCACAAATAATCGCACCAGTCTCCTCTCCCTCCTTAACTTCGATAGCAGTTTTTACTTAAAAAATATTTCTAAAATTTATATGCAAATACTTTGCAGCATTTTAAAAATTCAACCTAATAAAAATAAGGCAATACACATAATCGTAAGAAGTGTAAATAGAAATTTCGTCAAACCAAAGATTTTCTTATTTAAATGACTCAAATAAATATTAATAAAGTTATAATACCAAAACAATTTTTTAAAGTTGCTCTTAGTCTTGCAAAATTCTGATTTAATAACTTTCATAAACTTTACGAAAAATCACCCAGGAAGAGTGCCACCAGTTTTTTAAAATTTCCTTTGTTAATTATTTTCAATGAATGAGCTCAATACTTTTGCAATTCTTTTGTTTAACTCTAACTCTTTATAATAGATATAGAAAATCCATGAAAATAATTGCTGGGTAAGGTAAGTTAAATATAAAGTATCAAAAAAAACAAGTTTATTTTCCTTAGCTGGCCACCTTTGATGAATTTTTATATTTTTTTAAAATTGGTAAGGAATTCTCAACATATATATACATATATATATATATATATATAAATATATATATATATATATATATATATATATATATATATATATATATATATATATATATATATATATATATATATATATATATATACATACATATATATATATATATATATATATATATATATATATATATATATATATATATACATATATATATATACATATATATATATATATATATATATATACATATATATATATATATACATATATATATATATATATATATATATATACATATATATATAACCCTCGGAATAAGGGTCAGCAATGCCGACCTAACTGCTGACTTAAGAGTGAGAGCCCATACAAAGATGGAAACTGACAGTGTTCCCATAAATAAACTAAAAATGTTATATTCAATTTCATTTGCTATATTCAATGATTTAAACACTTTGTGCAATATTTTATTGTTTCTTAAAGTTTAATATTTAAATTTGTTTAAAAATAAATATATCTAAAACTTTTTAAACCACATATACTTACGTGGCAATACCAGGTGTCATAAATATAATAAAGTGTCTGATAAGTAAAAATAAATTATAATACAAGTTCCATCTATCCAACAAAATGTTACCAAAACTTTTAATTGATAAACCAAAATTATTAAATGTATTAATACAGGGTTGCCACTATAATTTTTAAAGCTTTTCCCTAAGTTTTCCCTGACTTTTCTATATTCTTTCCTGTTCATCAACAAGATTATTATTTTCCTTAATTAAACACAATCTTGATATTTGACGAACTAAAACTTTTACAAAAACACCTACATCTTGCAAACTTTTTATTATATGTATTAGCAAAATATTTTAAAAAAAAATTATTGTACAAAATTTCAAAATTATTTTCTCTGAGTTTTCCCTGAATTTTATAAAAATTTAAGAAAATCCCTGAGTTTTCCAGGTTTTCCCTGGGATTCATGCTTTTTCCAGGTATTCCAGGTTGAGTGGCAACCTTGTAATAAATGTTAATATTAAATAGTGCATTATTAAAAATTTTTTGATTAAACTTAATTAAATAGTGCATTACTAAAATTATGTGTTAATTAATTATTAACTCTGCACTCCATTCTCAATTGTACAAAAAATTTTAAATGCGAGAATTGCATGTTTTATTTATAATATATTATTTGTTGAACACAATTAAACCAAAATTATTGGTATATTTTTTTTTAACTTATAACAACTCTTAAATACACAAAAAGTTTCCATCCAATTAAGTCCATAAACTACCAATAAAGTTACTAATTACAACTTGCAATTAAGACTATACCAACTGAGATTATAAAGTTGTGCATATTATTTACTGATTGTTTTTTTATAACATGCACAGCACTAAACTTGTTTTACATTTTCCAGAGTTATAAGGTCGAGAGAGTAAAAAATTAACCATTAAAAATAAATTAAAACTGAGTTTTTTCATTGCAGTGGGCTTAGAGGCTTATATAAGTTTAAAAATAGCTAGTCTACCATGCCTTTCATTTTACAACATTTATGAAAATCTTAATTTATTATTACATCAGCAACTTAATTTAAAAAAATATTTGAATTCCAAAATGCAGAAAAAAAGTAATGATTTGATTTGTAACTGGGAGTTATACTGATTTTTATATCAATACTCCCTTTTATACAATTTCTATTATAGAGTACTTGTGATATTTAATTAGAGTGGAAGTAATATCAGAAAAAGATACAAAAAAAAAACAAACGATTCTAACACATCAAAAATTAAAATGGAGAAGAAAAATTCGTTCAGGAATGTATCTTTTATACATTTGTAAATTCATCTTTAAGTGAAAAATAATTCGGTACAAGCGTTTCATACCCTAAAGAATCCCGCATCAGCCATCTTGCTGGTCAAATTTACCGCTCGCTTCGGAAACTTTAAGGTTCACATATTGATTTAAATAGCAATTTTGCAGACTAATGAAATTTACAGAATTTGATTTATATATTTTAAAGTAATAAATCTAGTAACAATACAACTTTTTAGTTTTCGCTTCGACAATTTAAATAAATAGTACCTAAAATTTATATTTTTTTGTTTAATGAAAAAAAAGTTCAGTTTTTTTTTTGATTAAGTGATATCTTAACGTTCTATTTTTTTAGTGATTATTTTATTAAAATTTATAACCACGTGTGATAATGGAAGACACAAGTGTGACTGAACTAGCAATTAGAGCTACTTCAAGTTATTTTAATGATCTTATTGAGCTTATACCAGCCAAATATTATGTAAAATCAGACTACGAAGACTTTGAAGGATCGAATTCTAGAAAAATGAAACAAAAGAATCCGAATAAAAAACTTCTTGTGAAAAAAGCAAAACTATTTAAATTAGACCCAACTTTACACAAGTCTAGCTCTGAATTACAGCTAGAGATTGAGCAGAAAGAAAATGAATTACTCAAAGATGATTCCTTTAATAATATTTCAATCAAACCAATGAACGTGACATGTATTCCTAGCAAACCATTAGAAGAGCTTAGAGCAAAATTGCATGCTAAAGTTGCATTACTTTCTTCAGATCGAAAAGTTACAAGTGAAAAAAGTAAAAAGAGACGATTAGAAAGTAAAGAACAAGATAAGCTAGCTAAAAAAAGGAAGAAAGACAATCAAAGTATAAAACGTATAAATGAAATCGAGGGAAAGTCTGAGAGTTTAACACAAAAAAATCCAGTTGACTCAAAAGTTATGTTTAGTAAATTCGATTTTGCAGCTCAAATTAATGATGTCCGAAAGAAAAAAAAACAAAAATCTGATAAACAAATACTTGCAATAGCTGAAAAAAATAGAGATAAACTAATGGAGTTAGAAAGTGAAGATGCAGAAAAAGCAAGTATGCTAAAAAAAGAAATAGCCTGGAAAAATGCATTAAAAAAAGCAGAAGGTCAAAAAATAAAAGATGATCCAAAGTTATTAAAAAAGACATTAAAGAAAAAAGATAAACAAAAGAAGAAAAGTAAATTAGAGTGGAATGAACGACTTAAAACTGTTGAAAACCAAAAATTAGAAAAACAGAAATTAAGAAAGCAACATATTCAGGAAAGGAAAGATGGAAAAATGGCTAAAAATAAAAAAATTAAAAAGAAATCTAAAAAACCAGGATTTTAAATAATCTAATGAAAAAAATGTATTTTTTCTAGTGTCGAAATAAAATTTTTTGTTCATTTATGAGAAATCTAGTTTTATACTTAAATATCTAAGTTTAACAGACACATTTATCAAGTTTTCTAATTTTGGTTTGATTGATTTGAAATTTGAATTTTGAAATTTAGTTGATCTTATTGGAATAACTTAGCTATATGTATGTGTGTGTGTATGTACGTACACACTAACAGACTGAGCCTTGGCTTAGCTACGCTACATCCCAAACTAGGGGGAGAGCAGAAAACTTACAGACCCTTTTGCAATTTTACAGAACTTTTCTTTCCTTTTTCTTATTAGTAATACTTATTGGAAAAGTTTTTAGGATTTCAGACCCTAATAACAGGTTTTGGGGGTCTCCAATCCACTAGCCACAGTATTGTATACATACATACATACATACATACATATATATATATATATATATATATATATATATATATATATATATATATATATATATATATATATATATATATATATAAATATATATATATATCTCGGAATTAAGAAAAGTGAGAATAAAATAAAGGTCAGCATTGTTAAATGCCAACCCTAATTCTGAGGGCTGTATATATATATATATATATATATATATATATATATATATATATATATATATATATATATATATATATATATATATATACATTTATTGATATCCTTGCATATTTATATATGTATATATGCATATATAATAGTATATATATAATATATATATATATATATATACTCAATATATATATATATATATATGCATATATAATAGTATCTATAAAATATATATATATACTCAATATATATATATATATATATATATATATATATATATATATATATATATATATATATATATATATATTTATATATATATATATATATTTATATATACACATTTATTGATATCCTTGCATATTTAAATCAGCACTGTCCTATTGTATTTTTCACTCTTAATGTTTAAAAATGTTGACATAAAGCTGAACACTTTTTTAGATAAAAAATATCCTTAATATCTAGATGATACTTGCCTAAACCCTTAGTTGATGTATATACTGACCCCCTTACAGCTCCCTATTTCAATATAAAATCATCAATGATACCTTATGCAAAGTTAAGTACACAAATATATTATATATATATATATATATATGTATATATATATATATATATATATATATATATATATATATATATATATATATATATATATATATATATATATATATATATATATATGAAGAAGGAAAATGGCGTAGACACTATGTTTTGAGAAAGTATATATTAATTATTCATAAAAGTCTTTGTATAAAATTAAGGGAAAAAAAATTCTAATAAAAATTACAAATATTTTGTTAAATTTTAATATATTGTTAAGGTGAGTTTCCACTCATCCGTTTTTTTACGGGAATGAGATAGGAAAAACAATACGTGAAAAAAAAAAGGGAAAAACAATACGTGAGCATGCGTAGTTTTACTTCGGACAAATTAAAACTTATAAAAACACATACCCATGTGATAATTTTCCCTTCCCTTTCCCGTTCCCGTGAAAAAACGGATGAGTGGAAACTTACCTTTTAAATATTAATTAATAAGTTTTGTCTTTTTTTTTTTTAACGATTTAAAGTTTTTTGCTTTATATGAAAACTTTGATTAATGATCAATATATATATTTGGTTTTTTTTTTGCTTTATATGAAAACTTTGATTTATGATCAATATATATATTTGGGTGGGTCGTAAAATTTTTTCTTGTTACAGGCTCTAAATATTGCGAGTAATTATTAATAAAATATTAGGGTACCGGTAATTTTCCCAATAAAGTTGCGCCCTTTAAATCTATTACAATCATTCTCATATTTGATAGTATCACTATCAAATATGATAGTGTCACTATCAAATATGATAGTATCACTATTAAATATGAGAATGATTGTGATAGATTTAAAGGGCGCAACTTTATTGGGAAAATTACCGTACCCTAATATTTTGGAGAAAAAAAGTTCTTCAAAAGTAAGTTAACCTGGTACTCAAAAGAAGCAAAATTTTATAAAAAATTCGAAAATAATAATTGTTTTATAAAAATCATATTGCCGAAAAAATTGTAATTAAAAAACATGAAAAAATGCACTTTTTTCGCTTTTAGTTAAAAAACCGGAGTTTTTTTGAAATAAAATCTAAAATATTAATTTTAATATGAAAAAATTAATATTTTTGAAATTTTTATGAAATTTCGCTTTATTTGAGTACCTACATCTTCCAGTACAACTTTTTTTTTTTAATAATAATTGGGCTTGCTAATTTTTGTAATTAAAGTTGCGGTGGAAGACTTTGTACAATTATAAAAGCCATGAATACTTTCCTAAAGTACTTAGTACATAAAAAAAACAACTTTCTAGACCATAGCCAAGTTAGCAACTCTAAAAAATTTATGACCCACCCTAATATATATATTCTTAGCAACTCTAAAAATTTTATGACCCACCCTAATATATATATTCTTAAAACTTTTTAAATGTGACATGTGATTTCATGGTTTTTCATTGAATGTGTTGACTTTTTCGTGTTGATTGTTTCATATATTTTTCATACAATTTTACTATTTTATCTGTTTGTTTCAAATTTTGTTATAAATTATAGTGACACTATTTAATTAATTTTTATCAAACATGCCAAGAATCTGTGTCAATAATTGGATTTGTTGTGTTATATCTGTCTTTGGTTTTACATAAACGTACTATCACACCAGTGATCAAGAAATTCACCGTTTGTACTTAGGTTGTAACTTAGGAGATCAAGAACAACCCTGGGTACTTCATATTTGTTCTACTTCTCGTAGTGTAGGGCTTTCTTAAACTGGTTACATAGAAAAAGACAAATGATACCATTTGCAGTACCCTCCACAGATCATGGCATCACAAAAAAGAGGACACAATATAATATCCAAATACTTTAGATGCCTTAAGAGCAGTGTCCCACGGTGAGGATCTAATGATGATGATGCCAATAACAACCTAGAAGTTTTAGAACCATCAACTTCGGATGATGTAACTTTTTACCTTCTGCAGTTGAAAATGATCCTCATCGAATCTCTCAAAATGAACTTAATAATCTGGTTCGAGATTTAGGACTATCTAAGACTAAGCCTGAGCTATAAGGATTCAGATTGTAACAGTGGAATCTTCAAGATGATGTTAAAATAACTTCGCAGCAGACGCAGGTCTTATCAGGAAGTACTTCAAACATTTGAGAATAGTATGAAATTCAGATTTTTTCAATAAAAAATTAATTTGAAAAAGTTATCAAGAATTACAAACAATATAAACTTTTAAAGAAATTTTATAATTTTCTACCTAAATTTTTACTTTGTCAATGCCACCTTTTTGGAGTAAATAATCTCCTCTTTGATTTGACTTAATAAAGCATTCTGGGTCTTTTTTGGACGAAATATTTATTGGACCCAAAAAAGAAGACAAAAAAAAGACGTTTTAGACGGACGGACGCTAATTGAACGTCCAAAGGACGTTTTTTTTTTTTTTACCTTTTTTCTATTTATTTTTAAAACATATTGATGGACTTTACAAATATTGCAATCAAGTAACAGCAACACTTTTAGGGGTCGTCCATAAAGTACGTACGCTCATAGGGGGAGGGGGAAGGTTTTCAAAAAGCGTACAAAAGCGTATGGGGGGGGGGTTCAATTTAAAAGTACTTCAATTTTCTAATTTTACACAATTTTCTAGTCAATAGAAAAGTTAAAATTCTGAGTAAAAATCTTAGTTTGCCAACATAAAAAGATGTATTGTATAGGGAGTACAACCAGAGAGTAGAAGGTATAGTTTCTCTCTATGTTCACACACCATGGGCGCCAGAAGGATTTTTTGATGATACAGATAAACCACTTCCATACATTGTGCAAACTCCAAACTTAAGTATGTTTATACCTATGCCGTTTGAAGAGGCCTTGCAAAAAAAAATTGTTATGGCGGTAGTCTGGGAACAAAAAAGCCCTCAAATGCTTGCATCCGACCCCCAACCCCAAAAAAAAAAAAAATAAATGAGGGGCTTTAGATTTTGCATCAACTTTTGTAATTTACAATATTTTTCAACACAATTTAAATTCTGTCAATAAATTTGAATTCAGTTTTAGATCGTTAAGTTAAAAATTTTACTACATAAGTGCCCTCACGTTTGAGCAGGGGGGCAAGCGTTTCAGGGCTATTTGTTGACAGGTCTCCACCATCCCAATTTTTTACAAGGTCTCCTCATTTGGCATAGGTATAGCCATACTTAAGTTTGGAGTTTGCACAATGTGTGAAAGTGTCATATTTTTAACATCAAAAAATCCTGCAGGTGTCCATGCCACCTTATATACTGGCCCTGAGTATACTCAGGGCCAGTATATAAGGGGTGGCATGTGTGAAAAAAAAAAACAGGTTTTAGCAGCGCAATGGCTAATAGGTTGGAGACCCCCCCAACCCGGAAAAAAAAACATTGTATCATTAGGGTCTCAAAATCTTCCAAATTTTACCGCTAGGTTTTGCTAAAATAAAACAGCAAAAGGGCATAAAATTTGCTGCTCATTCAACATCCCACCCCCTCTAATTACGGGGTATGGGTAGCCTACACTCGGCACTGGGTTTTAAGCTTTCTTTTCAATATTACTCTTCTCGCGTGACTCGCTCTTTACGGACTTACTCTAGAGAGGTGCCTGAAAAAAACGTCTGCCTTAAGTATAACTTATTTTTATTTGATGCGTCTCTCATTAAATAAAAAAAGTAAAATAGGACTTTACTGGGAATCGAACATAGATATCCGCTGTCAATACCCATAACATTACCCACTCGGCCAAGCGAACTCTTCAATATTGTTAGATTTTATTTTATTTAAATTTATATTTGTGTATATATTTTTAAATTGGGATCCTTTGTCGCTAACAAAGGGCTTTGGGGTCGTATATATACTTTATACGTTTTTCACCCCTGCCTATATATATATTTTTTAATATAAAACTTTATTGAAATAAAAAAG